CCTTTGCAGTATTCATACATTTTTATTTTGTATAGATTTATCGTTTCAGTGTGGCTTTGCCTTTGCAGTATTCATACATTTTTATTTTGTGGAGTATCAGTGTGGTTGTATTTTTGTATATTCACGGTCGTCTCAACGTTTTATTGGATACAAAGCTTCTCTCGCAGTTGGATAGATATATTTTTAAGTAATATTTGTACGGTTGTATTTTGGTATCTTCACGGTCATCTTCACGTTTTATTATAATTTGTCGCGGTGGTTGTATTTCTAAGGTGTTGTTCAGGTTTTATTTTTATGTCGTTTTTGATGGCCGGTGGTTGTATTATGGTTTTTTCGCGGTCGTGTTCAGGTTGTATTTGGTTAAAGCATGTGACGATCTGCAGAAATAAACGTCTTAAGGAAACTGCGGCGGTTGTATTATGGTTTCATCGCGGTTGTGTTCAGGTTGTATTCGTTTAAAGCGTGTTAAAGGCGTATGACGATCCGCAGAAATAAACGTCTTAAGGAAACCGCGACGGTTATATTTTGGTAATTTTACGGTGTTGTTCGGGTTTTATTATTCAGCCGTGTCTCACTACTTCTGATTTTATTGGAATATGCCGCCAAAGATTCCAATGAAATCAGGCTGATCGGCAGGAATAAACCTAATAAACCTGTCTTGAGGAAACCGCGGAGGTTGTATTTTGGTAATTTTCCGGTGTTGTTCGGGTTTTATTATTCTGCCGTGTCTCACTACTTCTGGTTTTATTGAAATATGCCACCAAAGATTCTAATGAAACCAGGCGGATCGGCAGTAATAAACCTGTCTTGAGGAAACCGCGGAGGTTGTATTTTGGTAGTTTTCCGGTGTTGTTCGGGTTTTATTATTCTGTCATGTCTCACTACTTCTGGTTTTATTGGAATATGCGGCCAAAGATTCCAATGAAACCAGGCGGATCGGCAGGAATAAACATGTCTTGAGGAAACCGCGGAGATTGTATTTTGGTAATTTTCCGGTGTTGTTTGGGTTTTATTATTCTGCCATGTCTCACTACTTCTAGTTTTATTGGAATATGCCGCCAAAGATTCCAATGAAATCAGGCTGATCGGCCGGACGGATCAGCAGAAATAACCCTGTCTTGAGGAAACCGCGGAGGTTGTATTTTGGTAATATTCCGGTGTTGTTCGGGTTTTATTATTT